AGCGAGTTTTCCTGGCAAAATTCTATCAGCCTGCGTCCCGCTTCATTTTGTTCTCCCAGACCATGCTTGCCTGTGATCCCAGTTGTCATTTGACTTCCCACCTTGGCATTCCAGTCTCCTGTAATGAAAATAATGTCTCTTTTTGGTGTATTGTCCAGTAGGTCCTGCAGATCCTCATAGAACTGATCTACTTCTGCTTCTTCAGCAGCTGTGGTTGGGGCATATATTTGGATCACTGTAATGTTGAAAGGCTTTCCTTGCACTCGAATTGAGATCATTCTGTCATTTTTTGGGTTGTATCCAAGCACCGCTTTAGCGAATTTCTTATTAATTATGAAGGCTACTCCATTTCTTCGATGTTCCTCTTGTCCGCAGTAGTAGATCTGGGGGTCATCTGATGTGAAGTGGCTCATTATGGTCAATTTCAGTTTGCTGACCCCCAGAATGTCTATCTTTAGTCTTGACATCTCACCAATAACAACATCCAGTTTGCCCTGGCTCATAGATCTTACATTCCAGGTTCCTATGGTGTGTTGATCTTTAGAGCATCGGGTTCGTCGTTCACCTCCAGTACCGTCGGCCGCTAGCCTTCCTTTCGGCTTTGAGCTAGCTGCGTCATCACATCTGGGGCTAGTTGAACTTATCCTCTGCTCCTCCCCAGTAGCATTTTGGCCATCTTCCGACCTGGGAGTCCCATCTTCCAATGCCATACCGACATATCTCTGGTTGTACTGGTCCATTTAGTTTTCTTGGCAAGGATACTGGAGTGGTTTGCCATTGCCTTCCCCAGGGATCACGCTTGGTCTGACCTCTCTGCCACAACCGTCCCGTCTTGGGTGGCCCTTCACAGTTTCGCTCATGACATCATTGAGGTTCTCAAGCTCCAGCGCCCCGACAAGGCGGCGATCCTTTGCTGGAGGATGCTCACTATAACCTGTTTAAAAGCTTCTTTGGAGGCTTTTAAGTAGAGGTTGGATGGCCATCTGTTGGGGGTGCTTTGAATGCAATTTTCCTAATTCTTGGCAGCATGGGCTTGGACTGGATGATTTAGTCTGCTTGCCTTTCATGTTCCTTGATTTATGCTTGGGCAATGCTGCTGCGTTTGGGGGTCCCTATGTAGATTTGTTCACAGCTGCATGGTATACGGGAGACTCCTGCAGAGATGAGAGGATCCCTCTTGTCCATCATCATTATCATCATCAATATTATTACCATCGTCATTATTGATATGTGGGGCCGATCTGGGTAAATTGTAAGGGGGATAGGGGAAAATAGTGTATATATTCGGTTTTATCATACTTATTTACTGTATTATGAGAAGTGTCTTACTACACAGTTTTATGAAGTTGTATCAAGTTTTGTTGTTTGGTTTGGTATGGGCTAACTTTCTAACTTGGGCGCTGCATGCTAGAACTCCCTGCTAGGAGGATGGAAGGAAGGGAAGGAGGAAGGAAAAAGAGAAGGAAGGAAAGACAAAAGGGAGGAAGGGAAGGATGGAAGGAGAGAGAGAAGGAAGGAAGGGAAGGAAGGAAGGAAGGAAGGAAGGAAGGAAGGAAGGAAGGAAGGAAGGGAGAAAGAGTGAGAGAGAGAGGAAAGGGGAGGGAAGGAGGAGAAAAAGAGGAAGAGAAGGAGAAAAGAAGGAAGGGAAGGGAAGGAAAGGGAGAGGGAGGAGGAAAAGAAGGGGAGAAGGGAAGGAAGGAGGAAAGAAGGAAAGGAAGGAAAGACAAAAGGAAGGAAGGATGAAAGGGTGGAAGGGAAGGATGGAAGGAAGAAAGAAGGGAGGAAGGAAAGAAAAAGGAGGAAGAAGGGTGGAAGGGAAGGAAGAAGGAAAAGAAAGAGAGAAGGAAAGGAAAGAAAGACAAAAGGGAAGGGGAAGGAAGAGAAAGAGGAGAGAGGGGAAGGAAGGACAAAAAGGTGGAAGGATGGAAAGAAGGAAGGGAAGGAGGAAGGCAAAAAGGGAGGAAGAGAAGGAAGGAACAAGAAAGCGGGAGAGAGAGAAGGAAGGAGGAAAGAGGGAAGGAGAAATACAAAAGGGAAGAAGGATGAAAGGGTGTAAGGAAAAATTGATGGAAGGAAGGGAAGGAGGAAGGAAAGATAGAAGGTAGGAAGAAAGAGAGGAAGAGAAGGAAGGAAGGGAAGGATAAAAGAAAGAGAAGGAAGGAAAGACAAAAAGGAAGGAGAAAGAGGGAGAGAAGGAGGAAAGAGGGAGGGAAGGAAGGACAAAAAGGTGGAAGGGAAAAATGGAAAGAAGGAAGGGAAGGAGGAAGGCCGAAAGGGAGGAAGAGAAGGAGGGAACAAGAAGCCGGAGAAAGGGAACGAAGGAGGAAAGAGGGAAAGAAAGACAAAAAGGAAGGATGAAAGGGTGGGAGGAAAGGATGGAAAGAAGGGAAGGAGGAAGGAAAGATAGAAGGTAGGAAGAAAGGGCGGAAGGGAAGGAAGGGAAGGATAAAAGAAAGAGAGAAGAAAGGAAAGACAAAAGGGAAGGAAGGAAAGAGAAAGAGGGAGAGAGGAGGGAAGGAAGGATGAAAAGGTGGAAGGGAAGGATGGAGAGAAGGAAGGGAAGGCCGAAAGGGAGGAAGAGAAGGAACAAGAAAGCAGGAGAGAGGGAAGGAAGGAGGAAAGAGGGAAGGAAGGAAAGACAAAAGGAAAGGAGGGAAGGATGAAAGGAAGGAGGAAGGAAAGATAGGTGTGAAGAAAGGGAGGAAGGATGGAAATGATGAAAGAGAGAAGGAAGGAAAGACAAAAGGAAATGAAGGAAGGGAGGAGAAAGAGGGAGAGAGGGAGGAAAGAGGGAAGGAAGGACGAAAGGGTGGAAAGTAAGAGAGGGAAGGAAGGAAGGAAAGAGAGGAAGAGGGGAAGGAAGGACAAAAGGGTGAAGGCAAGGAGAATGAGGGAGGGAAGGAGTAAGAAAAGAGGGAAGGAAGGAAGGATAAGATGGTGTGAGAAAAGAGGGCCGGAGAAAAGATTGCAACTTTATAGGGCTTTCGAGGTTGCAAAGAGGGCTTTTTCAAATATGGCCCCCATTTCTGGTTTTGCCCATACCTAGCTTAAGAGCTAATCAATAATTTTATTTATTTATCTTTGTCATCATCGTCATAATCATCATTAGCACCCTGAGTTGTCCTTTCTGGCATCCGAAGCAACCTGATCTCTTCTGGGGCCTCTTTCTCTATTCTGCCTCTATTTGGATCCTTTTCCCAATTTCTGCTTTTCTCTTTGGAGAACAGACGGGCGCGAATCAAGCCAATAAACACGTCGCTCTTGGTTTTTCAACAAAGATGTGCAGCGGCGGAGTGAGATCCAAGCGCTCTCTTATCTCCAAACAGGGACAGGGTTTGTTCTCCAACAAGGCCTCTTCCGCCAACGCACACTCCCGGTTCCTGCTTCTCGCTTCCTGGCAATGAATCAGGCACTGCATCCTCCAAGGAGGCAGTCTTTGAAAAAGCCCTCTTTGCAACCTCGAAAGTCCTATAAAGTTGCAATCATAGAATCCTAGATTTGAAAGGGACCCCCAAAGGCCATCCAGTCCTTCGGCCATAATAAACCACCCAAGCCCTCCCAACAGATGTCCATCCAGCTTGTTTAACATTATTATTATTATTATTATTATTATTATTATTATTATTATTAATTTGAAACACAACAAGAGGAGTCCACAGCAAACAAGAATACTCTGCTGGCTGTTGTATTGGATCACACGTTGGACACTTCCCAATTGTCTAGGACTGTGTGATGTATCAGCGAATAATGCGTGCAGATCCCAATAGGTACTTCAGAAGCAGTACCTATTGATATACTCACATTTGCATGTTTTCGAACTTCTAGGTTGGCAGAAGCTGGGGCTAACAGCAGGAGCTCACCCTGCTCCCTGGATTCGAATGGCCAACCTTTTGGTCAGCAAGTTCAGCAGCTCAGCTGTTTAACCCGCTGCACCACCAGGTTGTGTATATAATAATAGTAATAATAATAATGCTTTACTTATATCTTGCCCTACCTTTTGGTCAGCAAGTTCAGCAGCTCAGCAGATTAACCTGCTGCACCACCATTATTATTATTATTATTATTATTATTATTATTATTAAAATGACCAACCTTTTGATTAGCAAGTTCAGCAGCTCATCTGTTTAACCCACTGCGCCACCAGGTTGTGTCTATAATAATAGTAATAATAATAATACTTTACTTATATCTCGCCCTACCTTTTGGTCAGCAAGTTCAGCAGCTCAGTAGATTAACCTGCTGCACCACCATTATATTATTATTGTTGTTGTTGTTGTTGTTGTTATTATTATTATTAGACGTCAATGCATAACCTTTTAGAGCTCTTTGGTTACAATGATACCAATTTTTTTTTGGTTGTGTCAGGAGCAACCTGAGAAACTGCAAGTCACTTCTGGTGTGAGAGAATTGGCTGTCTGCAAGAACGTTGCCCAGAGAACGCCTGGATGATTTGATGTTTTATCATCCTTGTGGGAGGCTTCTCTCATGTCCCTGCATGAGGAGCTGGAGCTGATAGTGGGAGCTCATCTGCCTCTCCCTGGATTCGAACCTGCGACCTGCCAGCACGGGTTTAACCCACTGTGCCACCGAGGGCTCCAATGACACCAATGAGACACCACTTGGATTGCCATGTCTCTATGCTATGGGATCCTGGGAGTTGTAGTTTTGCAAGGCCCTTTATCCTTTTCTGCTCAAGAAGTGCAACTACACTGTGGAATAAATGCAATTTGATTTCACTTTAATTGCAATGGCAAATTGCTATGAAATCCTAGCAACTGTAGTCCGGCACTTTTTGCCTGACCTTTCAAAACTACAACTCTCTGGATTCCACAGCACCGGGGCAATTCAAATCGTGTCAATCTGTATTAATTCTACAGTGTAGATGCATCCAAATTTGGTGTCCTTTTTGGAGAGGACGAATAGCTGAGGCATTGCATTGAAACAGAGGAAGAATAGAAGTAAATAAAAGCAGAGGGGGGAACAGCGACGATGGCAAGGGATGAAGCAAACGTGGGATGGGTTGCCATGGAAACTGGCATGTTGCCCGACGCGGAGACGGCGGGGCGGAGGAAGAGCTGGAGAAAGAAAATGGTTCAAAGGTAAAAACTTGGCACAGGGATGTTTGCTGCTGTCAAAGATGCTGCCAGGCAAACCAAAGTCTCGGTGATCGCAAGAGCATCAGCATCCTCTCTGTACCATTTCTCCTTCTGGTGCCATACCTGGGGCAAAGGATACAGGTGAAGGCACAGCATCGCATAGGAAGGAAGGAACGAGCGAGCGAGCGAACGAAGGAGGTGGGAAGGAAAGGACGAGTGCAAGGACACAAACCCACCAGGATGTTTGATGACATGGTGAGTAAAGAAGTACATCTTACAGGTGGAGCATCCTGTATCCGAAATGCTTGGGTTTGGGCGATATTTTTTATCCTAGAGCTCTGACTCTACTGAATTCTTATCGATCTGGTTTTACACTGCGATTCTCAACCTTCCTAATGCCGTGACCCCTTAATACAGTTCCTTATTTTGTGGTGACCTCCAACCATAACGTTATTTCCGTTGCTACTTCGTAACTGTCATTTTGCTACTGTTATGAATCATAATGTAAATATCTGATATGCAGGGTATATTTTCATTCACTGTACCCAATTGGGCCTAAATTTGGCCCAAATTTGAATACTGGTGGGGTTGGGAGTGATTGATTTTGTCATTTGGGAGTTGTAGTTGCTGGGATTTATAGTTCACCTCCAATCAAACAGCATTCTGAACTCCATCATCGATGGAATTGAGCCAAACTTGGCACACAGAACTTCCAACAGAAAATATTGGAAAGGTTTGGTGGGCATTGACCTTGAGTTTTGGAGTTGTAGTGGCCAGATACTGGTCAAAGGACATTTAATCAACTACCAAGCTTGCAAACTTTGTGTTTTGTTTGATTGTTTGTTTGCTTTGTTAAAAATGTAATACAAATGTCTGGTTGCTCCTGACACGATAAATAAAAAAAATAGTTCATCTACATCCAGAAAGCACTCTGGACTCAAGCAATGATGGATCTGAACCAAGCTTGGCGTGAATACTCAATGTATGCCCAAACGTGAGCACTGGTAGAATTTGGGGGAAATAGACCTTGACATTTGGGAGTTGTAGTTGCTGGGATTTATAGTTCACCTCCAATCAAAAAGCATTCTGAACTCCATCAACAATGGAATGGAACCAAACTTGGCACACAGAACTTTCAAAAGAAAATACTGGAACGGTTTAGTGGGCATTGACCTTGAGTTTTAGAGTTGTAGTTCACCTACATCCAGAGAGCACTGTGGACGCAAGCAATGATGGATCTGAACCAAGCTTGGCATGAATACTCAATGTATGCCCAAATGTGAGCACTGGTAGAGTTTGGGGGAAATAGACCTTGACATTTGGGAGTTGTAGTTGCTGGGATTTATAGTTCACCTCCAATCAAAGAGCATTCTGAACCCCAAGAACGATACAACTGACAAACTCCATCAACAATGGAATTGAACCAAACTTAGCACACAGAACTCCCCTTACCAACAAAAAATACTGAAAGGATTTGCTGAGCATTGACCTTGAGTTTTGGAGTTGTAGTTCACCTACATCCAGAGAGCATTGTGGACTCAAGCAATGAGATCAGAATCAAGCTTGGCATGAATACTCGATGTATGCCCAAATGTGAGCACTGGTAGAGTTTGGGGGAAATAGACCTTGACATTTGGGAGTTGTAGTTGCTGGGATTTATAGTTCACCTCCAATCAAAGAGCATTCTGAACTCCATCAACAATGGAATTGAACTCCTGCAGAGTTACAAATCTAGTAAAACTCAGTATGATTAAGACTTAAAGCAAGAAACACTTTGGATATAGACAATCACATTATGATTAAGCAAAAGCATCCCCAGAACAGTCGGCTGCACTATAAGAAATTAATCTATATACCTCTTAATTTTGTCATTTGGGAGTTGTAGTTGCTGGGATTCATAGTTCACCTTCAATAAAAGAGCATTCTGAACTCCGCCAAAGATGGAACTGAACCAAACTTGGCACACAGAACTCCCATTACCAACAAAAAATACTGAAAGGGTTTGCTGAGCATTGACCTTGAGTTTTGGAGTTGTAGTTCATCTACATCCAGATTGCATTGTGGGCTCAATCAATGATAGATCTGGACCAAACTTGGCACGAATCTTCAATATGCCCAAATGTGAACACTGGTGGAGTTTGGGAAAAATAGACCTTGATATTTGGGGGTTGTAGTTGTAGTTGCTGGGATGTATACTTCACCTACAATCAAAGAGCATTCTGAACCACACCATAAAATTGGGCCAAGCTTCCCATACAGAACCCCCATAACTCAATATGCCCAAATGTTAACACTGGTGGAGTTTGGAGGAAATAGATCTTGACACTTGGGAGTTGTAGTTGCTGGGATATATAGTTCGCCTACAATCAAAGAGCATTCTGATCCCCACTAACAATAGAATTGGGACAAACACAGTACCCCCATGACCAATAGAAATACTGTGTTTTCTGATGGTCTTTGGCAACCCCTCTGACACCCCCTCGTGACCCCCCTCAGGGGTCCCAACCCCCAGGTTGAGAAAAGCTGGTCTATAAGGTTTTACACTGATGTGCAATCATGATTAGAATGCGGAAGGACAGGTGCTTTATTTTTTGTAATTCTAGGGATATAGAATACACATTTGGGGATGGCATTTTGTTTCGTTGGACAATGTAGCATGACAAATAAAGTTATTGGGTTGCTGTGAGGTTTTTCGGGCTATATGGCCATTTTCCCATAACGTTTCGCCTGCATCTGTGGCTAGTGGCATCCTTAGAGGTTCTGTTGACAATGAGGCAAGTGGAGTGTATATAGGGTAAAGGTTTCCCCTTGAAATCAAGTCTAGTTGTGTCCGACTCAGGGAGGTGGTGCTCATCTCAATTTCTAAGCCAATAGGTACTGCAGAAGTGGTACCTATTGACCTACTCACATTTGCATGTTTTCGAAATGCTAGGTTGGCAGAAGCTGGGGCTAACAGCAGGAGCTCACCCTGCTCTGCAGATTCGAACTGCCAAACTTTTGGTCAGGAAGTTCAGTAGCTCAGCAGTTTAACCCACTGAGCTATATCATATGATGTACCATATCATAAGTTGTAGTATATACAATACACAATATATTACATTATATTCAGTACTTATATGGTGCCCTTCTCACCCTGAAGAGGACTCAAGGCGGATCACAGAACATGCATATACGCCACACAATGACAATTATACAATGTCGATTATACAATGACAAGATAGACAATAGATAATAATAATAATAATAATAATAATAATAATAATAATAATAATAAACTTAATAATACAAATAACCTCACAAATTTCCTACTCCTTCCTTCCTTCCTTCCTTCCTTCCTTCCTTCCTTCCTTCCTTCCTCCCTCCCTCCCTCCCTTCCTTCCTTCCTTCCTTCCTATGCCATGCTGTGTCTTCCTTCCTTCTTTCCTTCCATTCTTCCTTCTGTTCTTCTTTCCTCCCTCCCTCCCTATGCGATGCTGTGTCTTCACTTGTCTCGTTTGCACCAGGTATGGCACCAGAAGGAGAAATGGTATAGAGAGGATGCTGATGCTATTGCCATTATGGAGACTTTGGTTGGAGACTGGACCTTGATGGTTTGGAAGTATTAAGGCTAGATGGGCATCTCTCAGGAAGGCTGAGCTTGGGTCAAATCAGAATCAGGTCGGACTAGATGACCTTTAGGGGTCCCTTCAAACTTTTATTATTCTATAACCTGCAGCAGAGTGTATTCTAGGTGGCAAAAATGATACACAGCGAATGAACGAGCCTGCTTCTCTTCCAAGATCGGGCTAGATCTGGTGCCATTAATTGTAGGTCAATGAGCAGATGTTATTGAAAAAAATAAATAAAGGCCTATCAAGGAATGCAAATCTCCTCCTTGTGATCCTAGAGCTGCAATATCTTCTAGATATTACTGGACTTATGATAAAGAACAGTTGAGCGGATGAGCATTTCGCATTATAATCACTTTGCTCCAAAAAAACAGAATATTGAGGACGCTATTTTGGAAAACAACTGCTTTGCTAGATTTGCTTATGATAAACAAGTGAGTTGCAATAATAAATAGGCGGTCGATTAAGGACATCCACATTCAAATCCTGATCTGGTTGCAGAATTCCCTTGTTTCTGAGTGGTTGACTGTTCATTGTTGACTGTCTTGATTCTGGTGGTTTTTTAAAAATACTGATAGCCAGATTTTGTTCAATTTCATGGTCTCCTCCTTTCTGTTGAAATGGGCCATGAGTTTGTAGGTTTCAATGGGTTCTCTTTGTAGCCTGACATAAACAGAGGATGCCTTCAGGCAACGACGGCCAAGCAACCTCTATGCAGACACCCTCACTGATTGACTTTGCAGACTTCATGGCTACTCAGTGCTAATCCAAGCTTGCTAATTGCAACATTCACACTTGCTTCAAATAGGCAAGGGTTCTTTCTCCCATCCTGGACATTAGTCCATATATATATAAGCTTTTAAACAGAGGCTGGATGGCCATCTGTCGGGGTTGCTTTGAATGCAATTTTCCTGCTTCTTGACAGGGGGTTGGACTGGGTGGCCCATGAGGTCTCTTCCAACTCTTTGATTCTATGATTCTATATATATGGTAAAAGTAAAGGTTTACCCCTGACATTAAGTCCAGTCATGTCCAACTCTGGGGGTTGGTGCTCATCTCCATTTCTAAACTGAAGAGCCAGTAGACACCTCCAGAAACTGTAGACACCCCCAAGGTCATGTGGCTGGCATGACTGCATGGAGCGTCGTTACCTTCCTGCCAGAGTGGTACCTATTGATCTACTCACATTTGCATGTTTTCAAACTGCTAGGTTGGCAGAAACTGGGACTAACTGCAGGAGCTCACACTGCTCCCTGGATTCGAACCTGCGACCTTTCGATCAGCAAGTTCAGCATCTCAGTGGTTTAACCCACTGTTGCCACCGGGGACTCCTCCATACACGCACACACACACATATATATAATTTGATCAAATTATATTTTATTTATCGTATCAGGAGCGAACCGAGGGTAGAGTTGTAATGTATTTTAAAAACACAAAGTTTTAAAAAAACTCTGCATTATACTAAATGTCCTTTGACCAGTAGCTGGCCACTTGGAGTGCCTCTGGTGTTGCTAAAAGGTGGTCTTCCCTTGTACATGTGGCAGGGCTCAGGCTGCATTGTAGTCAGTTGTCTGTGGTTTGCTCTTCTCCACACCCGCATGTCATGGACTCCACTTTGTGGCCCCATTTCTTAAGGTTGGCTCT